GAAGGCCCTCTATGAGGTGGATTGATTCGGTGACTGGGGTTTTCGGGATGGGTGTGTCAGAGACAGTGCAATTGGCACAAGACAGAGCAGCGTTTATGGCTGTTGTGCATAGGGTCGCTATGAGTCGCAAGTGACTTGACGGCACATAACAACAACAACAACATGTTCATATTTAAGGAGTTCTGGTGGCACACTGTATACTGTGTCAGACTGCTAGCTGAAAGGTCACCGGTTCAAATCCATCGGCTGATCCTTGGGGAAAAGATGGGCAGTTTCGTTTCCTAAAGATTTACAACCTCAAACCCAGTGGAGGGCCACCGTGAATCATGGGGTTTGGTTTTGGGCTTGTTTTGAATGATGTCTTGATTAAAAACACCCATCTGCTATCCTAAGAGGTGGTGGTTCGCATCTACCCAGCATGTCCTTGAGAAAAAGACCCGAAGACTCAGCCTCATGAGATGACAGTGTGGGAAGCCCCCCTCTGTGATGTGGGTCGCAATCAGCCACCTTTGAGTTGGAATCCACTCGCCAGCACCTAACAACAGCCATGTGCTCTGAGCTCTCGGGTGAATGAGAGCTGCCAGCATCACCTGTCCTCACACCTGCTCGTTATATAAATGGATCTCTCATTTGTTACCCACAGCCCCGGCACCTGGCCCTGTGGGCTGGGGACCTCAGGATGGCTCTGTTCTCCTGAGCAGAAGGATAGAATGCCTCCTCCTGCTTTGCACTTCCTGGTCCACTTCCCTCTCCTCAGAGAGTTCTGTGGAGAACTGTGTGAACCTGGTGGAGAGAACAGGCAAAGCCTGCGTGTGTCCACGAGGGGAGGTTGGCTGTGTGGTACTCCCCGTGAATAGGCTGCACTTGGTTATTCCCAACCACAGGGTGATCCAGACACTGGTACAGCAGCAGACAAAATGCCTGCCCTTGTGACGTCGGGGACACTGGGGATGCCAGCAGCCCCAACCCCTCCAAGCCCCATTGCTCTCTACCCCCAAGACTTGGCCTGTCCACATCTCAAGGACCAGAGCCCTGGTGAGTGTCCGGTATGCTCTCAAAACCAGTCCTGTGCTCCACTTTTCCAGGTTTCTGTTTTTAACACATTGCACACACTTTTAAATTGACACCCATGCTTAGAAATACATTTTGCCTACATTTGCGGATATGTGTTTAATTACTGATAAACAAAGGCCAGGCCTTTTTCTCTTAAAACTGCTCTTAGGATTTAAACGACGAGGAATTTTAAAGAACGTCATCACTTGGCGCTGTGTCCCCATCCTCTCACTCACACTACGTCCAGCGGTCACTTGGCGCTGTGTCTGCTTCCGCTCGCCTGCACTGTGTATACAGAAGATATCCTTTCTGCGTGTACACGTTTTTTTGCCAAGCTGTCTTTAAGTTGCAGCCTTTGACCACCCACACACAGAACCTCATGGAAGGAATGAGAGTTCGCAGTCTGAATCCAGTTTTGGGGAGCCCTGGTGGCCTCCTGGCTAAGGACTTGTGCTGCGAGCCCAGTAGCCAGCGATTCAAATCCCCCTCAGCTCCCCAGGTGGGGGAAGGGCCATCTCCTGTGCGAGTCACTGCCTCTGACAGCCTGCTGGAGGGTCGGCTATGAGTCGGTTCCAGCCTGATGCCAGTGAAGCACCTGCAGTCTTGGGGGGGCTCTGGGGGCGTGGGCGCAGTCCATGGGGAACTGCATTGCAACCCAGAGGTGGCATCTCTGCACAGGAGAAAGAGGCTCATCCTTCTCCTGTGAGATTTACGGCTTCTGAAAACTCGCTGGAGGGCCAGCTACGAGTCGGGTCCACCCGAGGGCAGTGGGTTTGAGGTGTCACTTAAATATCCCTGATGTCCTCCAGATGTCTTTGTACGCAGAGGTTTAGGGGGCTTGTTGTTTGGTTGGCTGTTCTATCTCAGATACAAACATGCCTCATTTTATTGTACTTCACTTTACTGACTTTTGTAAACACTAGGTTCTTTTTTGGAAGCAGGAGTAGCATCCACTTCCTACACAACATGCCTCTGGAAACCCTGTGAACTTTGATAAGTGTCCACAGTTGTAGAGGGGTTTCAGGCCTTTTTCATTTGTAGGGTCGCTATGAGTCATGCTTGACTCGACAACAATCAACAACAACAGCGCTCTTTTTCACCGAGGGAGTGTTCATGGCCACCCTGTATCGAGCAAGCCTGTTGGTACCGTGTTTCCATCTGCGGGTGCTCCCTCTGTATCTCCTGTCACAATGTGGGCGTTCTCTCTTGTTGTCATGCTGTTGTGCCGTC